GCTGGGGGTGCTGCCGGGAGGGGAGGCCTGGGGGCCCCGCAGGCCCACCCAGGGCAGGGAAGCAGCGTTCTTGGTTTGCTTCCGTTCTCTCGCTAACACACCCTACACGCATGGGGAGAGTCCCGCTTGCTTCTTCTTTCCATTCCTCGTTTGCACAATGAAGAGCCTGGAGTGGCGGCCAGATTTGCTTCTGACTCTAGAGATTTTAAATTCCAAATGAGAGTTTATCAGTTAAACTTGGAAAAAAGGCATGCTTCCGGCATCCTCATGGGAACTTCTGGACGGTCCAGCCTCCTGCTAAATATACGCGTGGTCTTGACGTGGTCTCAGTGTCCCTGACGTGGGACTCTCCGGTCCTTCCTTTGAATCTCAGCCACGGCATAAAAACAGACTCAGAACACAGAACCCGCTAAGTTTCTGAAAAAGGAAAAGACTAGCCAACCAGCTCTGATCCTGTGCCTTTCTTACTGTGAGAGTTGGGTCTCTTTTGCACAATGTCCTCGGATACTTGTGGCCTCCGGACGGTCTCCTGCTCCCACGTGGCTCAGCACCCATCGGCACTGGGACGACTGCTGTTGACAAGTCACAGGCAAATGTCTTCAGTTTACATTCTGAAGGAGTTAATGGCTCCATCAACTTGAAACCGGGTCCTCGGCGTGAGAGCTGCAGGAGCGGAAAATGCCGCCAGGACCGCTGGGACTCTGCAGCCACAGTGGAAGAAACCTCAGGCCGAAGAAACTGCCCCCCACGCTCCTCGGGTCCTGATGAAGGGGATGCACGGGAATCCAGACCCCTCAGAGATTAACCTGATACAACATCCATTTGCACCGAGTAAACTAGGATTGCTCGGATTCTAGACTATGCACAGGTACCCCCCCCACCTTCCACCGGGGTTGCCCATTTTGTGGACCAAGGGGGTGTGGGGACTTCTTCAGGTCCTCGACTTGCACTTGGAATTCCTTTGATACCTCCAAGTTGGGACGGAGCTGGTGTGGCCATCAGGTGCTGCTCTGCGTCCTCACCGTGCCACACCTTACCGGGGGGAGTCCGGTGACAATCTTGTGCTATGAAGCTTTTTTTTTTTTTTTGTCTGGGAATTTCCCCCCTACTTTTATGAAAGGGTTTTTAACTATTTTGTTTTGTATTCTATGCTTTCAAAGCCTTAACTGTCTTATCTAGCATTATCTCATTTGTACAAAAACAGACTGGCGTAGCACAGGCAAATGTAAATTTTATTATACTTGTCATACTTGTTTTCAATAAACTTGAGTTTTGCTGCTAAAACAATCCTCCTCTTTGAGGGCAGAGCTTCTATTTATGGCAAGTAGACATCAACTCAGCTTTGGGGAATGAAGGTTTTGGGAGGGTTTTTTTTTTTTTTTTTTTTTTTGTGAAAATGAATGAGTAGACGCATCCATAAGAGTGGAAGGTTCCAAAAACAAAATGCACTCTGCATTTGATGGGATGAATACAGGGGATTTACTATACGTTGGCAAATTGAATTTAAATAAAAAAAATTAAAATAATAATAATAAAAGAATTGTCAAATTAGGTTATTGTGGATAAAAAAAATAATGAACATCTAATATGATAATCTTGAACTCCAAAACAAATTAAACTGTGGTAAGTATCCTTTGCTTGAGAAATTAGTAAAGCATGTTGTATATTTGGAAAACTTTATCTGAAAAGATTCAAATAAAAACATCTCAGTGGGGATCCCTGGGTGGCGCAGCGGTTTGGCGCCTGCCTTTGGCCCGGGGCGCGATCCTGGAGACCCGGGATCGAATCCCACGTCGGGCTCCCGGCATGGAGCCTGCTTCTCCCTCTGCCTGTGTCTCTGCCTCTCTCTCTCTGTGACTATCATAAATAAATAAAAATTAAAAAAAAAAAAAGGGGGATCCCTGGGTGGCGCAGCGGTTTGGCGACTGCCTTTGGCCCAGGGCGCGATCCTGGAATCCCGGGATCGAATCCCACGTCGGGCTCCCGGTGCATGGAGCCTGCTTCTCCCTCTGCCTGTGTCTCTGCCTCTCTCTCTCTCTGTATGACTATCGTAAATAAATAAAAAAATAAAAAAAAATTTCAAAAAAAAAAAAAAACAAAACATCTCAGTGGCTTTTTAAAAAAAAATTTTTTTTAAACGTACTATGGTGCAGAAGGTGGGCGGTAAATGTTTGTCGGGACACAAGAGCAGCAGAGCTCGGGGTCCACTGTTGGCCCCCGGTCCCCAGGTGCCAGGCTCTGGGGCAAACACGTTGGCCTCGGCCTCAGAGTAAACCCGCACTCCCTGCCTAAGACGTTTTCTGGAAGACAGCAGCGCGCCCGCTGACACGTGCTGACCGGGGTGGGAACCACGGTTCCGCCTCGGTAAAAGGAAATAAAGACGCGCAAGGGAGAGACACCCGGGTTGCTCAGCGGGGTCGCTCAGCGGTTGAGCGTCTGCCTTGGGCTCAGGGCGTGACCCCGGGGTCCTGGGATCGAGTCCTGCATCGGGCTCCCTGCAGGCAGCCTGCTTCTCCCTCTGCCTCTCTCATTAATAAATAAAATATTTACAAAGATATAGGCAAGGGATACGCAGTAAGCTCCCAGCTGGAGCGCTGAAATACCACTTTAGGGAGGAAACTGCATGTTCTCTTCTGAACAGAAAGGCTCGCCCGGCGGAGGACCTGTGGGCTTCCAGAGGGCTTGCCCCTGAGGTCACACGGCTCTTCTTCCCGCAGGATGTTTCCAGCCCACCCCAGGGTCCCCTGCCCCCTTTCCCTCCTCCTCCTCCTCCTCGTTCCCATCTCCCAATCGTGTCCACCCGCCTGGACGGTTCCAGCTCCTTCTGCTTTCGGCCCAGGCAGAAACAGTCGCTAGGCGGGTGTGACTCCCCCGTAAGTCTCCACCGCCGATCACTGTCTCCTGTGTAAGACCTTGGTGTGTGTGTGTGTGTGTGGGTGTGTGTGTGTGTGTGAACGCTGTGCCTCGTGTCCCGGGGCTGCGGGATTTCCTCATCTGTTAACGGAGCCAGCGTGGGACACGCCGGGGGTTCCCGGATTCAGGCAGCACTGTCCAGGCCCATCTCGGTCGGTCACTAAATGAAGCTCGGGCGCCAGCATCGCGAGTCCCCGTTGACAGTGGAAAAGCAGCAAAACCAGAAAAGGGCAAATGCTGAGCTCAGGGTGTCAGGGTCCTGGGGACAGCAGGACCCCGCTTCCTTGTGAGGTGGGAGCCATCTAGGTCGAAGGGAGGGAAGGGAGGGAGGGCTCTCCGGCCTCCCCAGCCCGCCTCCCAGCCTGCGCCCTGCCCCAAGGCCAGCCTGATCCCGAGTGTGCCCAGCGGTCCCGGGTCCCCCGAATGCCAGCGCCCGGGCCACCGTTCTTGCCCCTGCCCTTCTCTGAATCGCCCCAGCATATTAACCGTGGGCCAAATGCCTCACTGGTCGCCTTCGGTGCGGCGGCCTTGCCTACCCCAGGACCCTGACACGGCTGCACCCTTGGCCCGGCTCCCCGTAGCCATGCCCCAGAGGCCTCCCCAGGGCGTCCACCTCGGGCAGCTGCGCCCCAGGAGGCTGCAACCCCCGCGTCCAGCACAGGCCCTGACACAGGCGGCAGGGCCCAAGTATTCACTCAGCGGAGGAGCTTAGGGCTCCAGTCCATGTTCCCACGACCCCGGAGTCTGGGCCCGCGGGGGCTCCGTCCTGCTCTCAGGTCACCGAGGTCACCCGAGGTCACCGAGGTCCCCGGACCTAAAGTCACTGTGCCGTGGGCCAGGCGACACCCGGAGAGAGAATGGCGGGAGGGAAGGTCAGTCCCGTTGCCCGCGTTGTGCACTGCACACCGCGCTGGGGGGGGCGGGGCCTGCCCCAGGCCGCGAGGGCTCCCAGCTCCTCGACCGTCCCCGCGAGGGCTCTACCCACGTGAGCCCGGGAGCGCTCGGCCCCCCCGCGGGCGGGCTCCCCCCGCGCGGCCCTGCTGCAGGGGCGAGGCTGGGGGGCAGCGGGGCCCAGCGAGCCTCCCGCCGGCAGCCGGCGGCGTCCCGAAGCCTCGCCGACCCCGCGCCCCCACCAGCCGCGCCAAGGCCGCGAAGACCGCCAGGCGCCTGCGCGTGGGCCGCCGGAAGTGACGCCCGATGGAAGCGACGCAACCGGAAGGAGCCCTTGGGGCCGCGCCATGGCGCGGGAGGCCGCGGAGAAGCCGCCGGAGGAGATCTTGTCGCTCTGGAAACGGTAATGGGGCGGGCTGACTGCCAAGTTGCTGGGGGCTGGAGCGGCTTTGGGGCTGCGGGGGGCCCGACCCGCTTCCGGCGCGCAGAAGAAAGGGCCTTCGGGAGTTGTAGTCTGCAGGGTCGGCGGCGCTCGCTTCCGGCGCCGGGTCTGGGCGGGGGTTGGGGAAGGTAGGGGTGAGGCCGCGCAGGGGCGTCCCCGGGATGGGAGGGGTGAGGCTGCGCAGGGGCGTCCCCGGGAAGGGAGGGGTGAGGCCGCGGGGGGTGGGGGCGTCCCCGGGAAGGGAGGGGTGAGGCCGCGCAGGGGCGTCCCCGAGGCCCGGCTCCCTGAGAAGGTAGGAGTGAGGCCACGGAGGGGCGTCCCTGGGAGGGTAGGGGTGAGGCCGCAGAGGGGCGTGTCCCCCCCCCCCCGAAGGTAGGGGTGAGGCCGCGCAGGGGCGTCCCCGAGGCCCGGCTCCCTGAGAAGGTAGGAGTGAGGCCACGGAGGGGCGTCCCCCTGGAAGGTAGGGGTGAGGCCGCGCAGGGGCGTCCCCGGAGACCGGGAGTGCCCTAGGAAAGATCCGCAAGCCCTGCGGACCGCTCGGGGCCAGGAGGCCACTGGACATGTGTCTGCCCTCAGGGAGCAAGCTCAGCTGAAGGCCCTCCTCGTGGAGCAGGACACGGAGGCGTGGCAGCGGGACCCCGCGTTCTCAGGCCTGCAGAGGGTCGGGGGCGTGGACCTGTCCTTTGTGAAGGGCGACAGTGCCAGCGCCTGTGCCTCCCTGGTGGTGCTCAGCTACCCTGAGCTCGAGGTAACCCCGCGGGGGCCACCCTTCCCTGGCGCGGGCTGGGGGACCAGCGCCCACATAGAACTCTGCTTCTCCTTTTGTAGGATTTCCTTATTAGGTTGGGAAGCCTTTGAAGAAAAAAGGGGGGCAGTAGAAACTAAAAGAGATTCCGTGAATTAGAATCTGAATTGACTCACGTCTTTATTTTTATTTGTTTTTTTTTTTATTTATTTTTTTATTTTTTATTTACTTATGATAGTCACAGAGAGAGAGAGAGAGAGAGAGGCAGAGGCACAGGCAGAGGGAGAAGCAGGCTCCATGCACCGGGAGCCCGACGTGGGATTCGATCCCGGGTCTCCAGGATTGCGCCCTGGGCCAAAGGCAGGCGCCAAACCGCTGCGCCACCCAGGGATCCCTATTTTTATTTATTTTTTTTTTTAAAGATTCTTTTAAATCTATTCATGACAGAGAGAAAGAGAGAGAGGCAGAGACACAGGCAGAGGGAGAAGCAGGCTCCATGCACTGGGAGCCCCATGCGGACTCGATCCTGGAGCTCCAGGATCTCACCCTGGGCCAAAGGCAGGCGCTAAACCGCTGAGCCACCAGGGATCCCTGACTCACGTCTTTACTTCAGGCTAATTATCCTCTTGGGCCTTCCCACGTCAGTGACCCCACAGCGACACGTCCCGAACTGCCCGGCCTGGAAACCTCTGTATCCCCAGAGATGCGTTCACACACGGAGTCCCGCTCTGTCCCACACTAGCCCCGTTTATGCGCCTCCTAAATATTGCAGGAATCTGGCCCCCTGTCTGCATCCTCGCCACCACTTCCCTGGCTACGCCCCTGTCACCCGTCCTGCAGGGGACGAGTGGAGTTTTCACTGGGTTTCCTGCCTTCAGGATCGCCCTCTGTGGTGCCTTCTCCATGCTGCCTGCAAGTGATTCTAGAAAGTAAATGTGACCACGTCACCACCTAGTTCATTTGAAACATTTCAGTGCCCGTTCTGTGGGGCTGAACTTGCTAATAAGGGTAAGGACCCTTTGGGATCTGACCCTACTGAGTGTAAAGCTGTGGGTGTGACTCACCAACCCCCATTCCCCACCCCAGAGTACTTCTTCAGATTCCTCAAACGTGCCATGCTGTATCTGCCTGCCTGACCTTTGCACTGATGTTTCTACTCCTGGCTAACCCTTGCTCACTTCTCAGGTCCCCCAGTGAGCGCCCCCCCTCACCCCGCAAGACCAGGAGTTACCCAGTACCCTCTCTTTCCTCTTTATTGCACTGGATGGAATTGGTGGGTGTGTCTCCCCTCCCAGAATGTGAGCTCCACGGTGATAGCAACCATATTGCCATGTCCACCAGCTGTAGCCTTGGGCACCTAGCTCAACGCCTGCCGTAGAGAAGGCACTCAGACACGCAGACCAGTCAGCAGTATGCCTGGGATTCGTTGGGGGACCACAGTTCGGGAAGCCTGGGCTAAAGAAGTTGACGAGGAAACCTTTGCTCTGCTGCTCAGAGTTTCACCCTCCCTGTCCTCTGTTTGCTCCCAAAGGCAGCGTGTTCCTGCTTGTGTCTCTCCACTTTACTTGGAAGACCCCATTAGTCAAACTCAGCAAAAACATACTGAGCGCCCGCTGCGTGCTAAGGGCTGGATATAGGGTCTTAGTGGATCCAGAGTCCCTGCCCAGTGTGTACGATGGCCTCAGGGATAAGCCACAGCCTCGGGGGCCAGACTGCCTGCGTCCCTACCTCCCGTCTGCCCCTCCCACTTCACCCCCACTCCCAGGCCTTCCACTTCCTCTTCTGACTCGAGGATGGTGGCACTGTTGATAGCTCCACTGTGAGGGATGAATGGCATCACCCATGGAAAGCAGTTAGTCGGCACATTGTAAGTCCTCAAAAGATAGATGTTAGCTGTTCTTAGGACACCTCCTCCCTTCTCAAGACAGTTCACGTACTCCCGCGTCTATTGTCCTGGCTGCAGGGTTAGCCACCTCTCATCCCTGTCCGTGGTCTCCGTCTCATGCGGTGCTTCTTCCGTTGTATTGACAGTTACCGCACTGACTGGGTTCTCAAGGGTGGGGTGATCCTGTATTCCTCTTGTGACCCCGGCACAGAGCAGAGTGCCTGCCCCTGGGATGGGGTCAGCGTTCGTCGTCCTGTGCTGTGGGAGCTTAGACTGGGCAAGGAGCTTGGACGGAGTGTGGTGCAGAGGCTCCTAAAAGCCTGATCACGGGTCTGCCCCCATCAGTCTCCTGAGTTGTGTTAGAGATGCAAACCCCATAGGCAGATCCAGAGACAGAAAGTAAATGCCTGGTTGCTGAGGGCTAGGGAGAGGGGTGGATGGGGTGTGACTGCTAGCGGAAGCAAGGTTTATTGGTGCTGTGGGGCATCAGATGTACAGCTCCGTAAATAAAAACTTTGAACTATACACGTCAAGTGAACTCTATAGCAGTAAATTGTACCTCAATAAAGTTTAGAATATATACATATAGATTCCAGAGCCCCAACTCATTTCCTTTAAAAAAAAAAAAAATCTCCAAGCGTACAACCTGGAAATCTTTTCAGCAAGCGTCCCTGTGATCACAGAGTAGAGCCGGGGTGGGAGGCCCTCGTGCGCCTTCTGTGCGGCCAGGAATCCCGTCCTCAGCACCCCTGATGAATGGGGGCCTCACAACAGCGCATCCCATGGTCGGACACCTGGTTAGTGTGTCCTCCGCGGGAAGCTGAAATGTTTGTGACCTGCCCGTCGATTGTGCCTCGCGCAGCAGAGTGCAGACCCGCCTTCCTGAACATCCACCCTTCCATCATCTGGACACCACTCTGTGCTTCGTCCGTGTGGTCCGCTGTGTCCTCAGAGGCTCGCCCGTGTGCTGCTGGGCCTCTGGCGTGCCCGCAGTCAGCAGGTCCGTCTTTGCATCAGGCGCCGGCATTGAACTGAGCCGCACCTGAGTTCGGTGGGCCGCAGTGCACCGAAGAGACGGGGTATTTCGGGGCCATATCACTGACTTAGGGTGAGACCTGCAGATCTTCTCAGAGATTACTGACCATCCGGATCGTGCCCACACACCCATTATGCAATTGAGGTTTTTCACTTTTCCCCGATGTTTAACTTCAAGATGTGTAAACGTGGATACATTGGAAGAATGACCCGTTGAACACCATGTACTCCGCTTAGGTCCAGCTGTTGTCGTTGGATGTCGTGTTTTGTGCATGTGTGTGCACGCTGAGGGATCCGCAGGTGTCTCCCCAGGTGCTGACGGCCTGTCCTGAGGGACCTACATAACAGCAGACCTTGGGGCCCACAGCACCTCCAGAACCCTGTCCGTGTCCCGTCTCCCCAGTCGCCTCGAGCTGGTCCTGCTCTCTGGGGAGTAAGGTCGGGGGGGGGCAGTGCATGTCCCCTGGTGCCCTGGGGTCACGTAGGCTCGGGGCAGGGGGTGCCCAGCGTGGCACCCGCTTCCTTTCCTCTTCTCTCACTCACCCTGAGCTGACGGTCGAGGGCCCAGGGCCCTTTCTCCCAAGCTCACGGCTGGCTCTGACCATGTGGAGTCACCTTTCCTTTTCTCTGGAACGTTGCTCGGATGGAGGCTCCTACGCGCTCTCCACGTGCTCGGCCCCGCCGCCCTGGTTTCCCCTTCAGTCACGCGCTCTGGCCATCCGTCTGACCGTGTTTTTGTTTGTGTCCGTCCCTGGTGTTTGGGGTTTGCCCGCGCTCCCCCCCCCCCACGTTTAGGATGGGCCGTCTACCCCGCCACGCTGCCCGTGGGCAGCATGTGTTTGTGGAGCCGTGAGCGTGGGCCGCCGCCGTCCAAAATCACACGGGCATGTGGAGGCCGGCCCGGGTGGCGCCCCCGTCGGTGCCGTCCTTGCCTGCCGTGGTCCCCGCCTGTCCTCGCCCGGCCTGGACCCGCAGCTGCCGTGCCCTGGCTGTCCCGTGCCCCGCGGGGAGGCCACGCAGCTCTGTGCACCCCGGACCGGGTGTCTGCCGGGCTCTGGCACCTCGGGTTTCTGGAACCTCTGTGGGCAGGTCAGACGTGAGCAGCCGCGACGATGGGAGAGGCCACACCAGAGTGCGTCCCCGTGGGGTCACCCTGCCGTGGGCACCGCCGCCAGCTGCTGGGCTCCTCTCCCTGGGCCGCAGTCGGCCAAGGCCCTGCACGTTCAGGGGTCCTGCGTGGCGCCCAGGCTGCCCCAGCCCCCGCCCCCACGCTCGGCCCGCGACAAGGGAGCTTCAGGTGGTGGTTTGGGTGCCCGGCTGGCTCCGGCGGCCTCACTGCCGCTTTGACACTCACCTGTCCCTCAGGACCCTTTCTCTTTCACACTGTCTAGCTCTGAAAGCCGCTTGTCCTTTTCTGGATTCTCCCCCGAGTCCCCGCTCATGGGCAACAGTGACATCCAAGCCCTTGCTCTGGTGGCACACACGTGCCTCTTGCCCTTTGTCTTCCCTGAGCCCCCCGATAGGCAGGTACGCAGTGGACAGAGGGCGCCCCAGGAGGAGGGCCTAGTGCAGCGGGTGTGCGAGCACCTCGGGAGGCTGCAGGCTGCATCCCTGGTGGATCACCTTGCCACCAGGCACTCTCCCCCCCCAGATAGGCGAGGCTGGAGGTGGTGGGCCCGGGGGCTGGGGAGGGGGATGGCCACAGCAGCAGGCCTGAGGGACAAAGGGCCGAGGCTGCGCCCACCCGTGACCTGGATGCCCGGCGACAGGTGGTGTATGAGGACTGCAGCATGGTTAACCTGACGGCTCCCTACATGTCGGGCTTCCTGGCCTTCCGAGAGGTGCCCTTCCTGGTGGATGCGGTGCAGCGGCTGCGGGAGAAGGAGCCCCACATGGTGCCCCAGGCAGGTACCCCGACTGCAAGAAGGGCCCTCGGTTCCGCCCAGGAGGGACGGCCTCCACGGGCTGCATCCCCCACTGCACGGGGAGACCTCTGACCTCGCTGGGAAGATGTACTTTGACCTGGAGGGGAGGGATCAGAATTTCTCAAAAGCCGCCTGTCCCTGGAGTGGCGATCCCAGACTGTTTGCTGCAGGATTCCCTGGCCTGATGGGCGAGGGCCGTTCGGCTGACTGACTTTCCCCTGTGGCTCTTCCAGGTCCTCTTTGTGGATGGAAATGGGGTTCTCCACCACCGAGGTAATCCTGCTCCCAAAAGACAGGGCCCAGGAGGGGCCAGTTCTGACCCATCCTCCCAGACTGTGCGCACCCGCCCAGGCCCCTCTGCTGCCAGCCGGGCCCCGGCCGCGCTTTCTGGCTTGACTTCGTTGTCGGGCTCCCGGCCAGCAGAGTCCCGCTTCCTGTCAGCCCGCCTCCTTCCTGCCTGCCCAGCCAGCACCCTGACCACTGCCTCGCTGGCCTGTCCGACGGGCTGCCCACTGAGTGGTGACATGCCTAATACCGAAACCGTTCCCCGCTGACACCGAGAAGCTTGCACCCAGCTGGGCACTGGGACGCCGACTCCGGAGAGTGACCGAGGGAGAGGGGAGCTCTCACCCTCCGTCACGGGCCTGGGTGTGGGGCCGAAGGGGGAGCTGGGCAGGCTGGCCCCGGGACCCCTGGGTGCCCACATGCGCACTGCCTGGCAGGAGCCCCAAGTGTGTTTCAGGAGGGTGACGCAGAGGCCTGATGGCAGCTGCCAAAGAAACAGGAGGATAGAAAGTGCCAGAAAGTGGGAGGAGAACTGGGGTGAAGTATCATGAGCTAATCGGGCTCCTGACCTCGCCAGGAGGAAGGAGCGTCCTCCACCCCAGCCCGATAACCGTTGAGGTTGGGGCAGGGGACCGCGTCCCCTGTCGAGCTGGCTCTCCCAGTCCTGTCCCAATCCTCAGTCTGCCCACAGGCCTCTGTTTACCTGGGGAGACTCGGCGGGTTCTGATTTGCCCTCCGTCTCCACAGTCTCTAGCCTGCTAGGCTCGCTGCCCCTCCAGCCCAGCCTCACCCTCTGCCCCTGTAGGCTTCGGGGTGGCCTGCCACCTTGGCGTCCTCACGGACTTGCCCTGCATTGGGGTGGCCAAGAAACTCCTGCAGGTGGACGGGCTGGAGAACAACGCCCAGCACAAGGAGAAGGTGAGGGATGGGGCGACGGCTTGCCCGTGGGGAGGGCAAGCACAGGGCCTGGAGGGCATGCAGCTCGGACGGCCCCAGTGACCTGCCCCGTACACGCCTCTGGTCCAGCCCTGGCCTGCTGGCGCGCTCCTCACCATCCTGGCTCCCTACCTCTCTGTGCGTGCCCTGTGTCCCCCGTGGGTCGTGGGGCACGACCGCAGACTGCCAGCGTGGAGGAGTAGCCGCCGAGCTCCCCCAGCCTCCTGGGCACGTGCTCGCCTCCCCATTGCCACCGCCTTTGTGCTGCTGTGGCACCTTCTGTAGGGGAAGGGCCTCCAGTTACTGGGCACAGGGCATCTGGGAGCCCGCGTGGCCCTCTGTGCTTTTCCCCGCCCCCAGCGCGGGGCCTGCAGGACGCTGCTGCCCGGCCTGCCTCGAGCTTCCTTGCCCCACCTTCTCCCAGCATCTCCCTTGTTTGGCCTCAAGGCTGGCACTGGGAATGTGACACCCCACTCCAGAGAGACCTGGGGACACATCCGGCTCTACCGCTGGGTGGCAGGCTCGGAGAACAACGATCACATCTGTCTCATTCCTCCAGGCAGTGCTGTGTCTGCACAGAAGAGTTGTTGGTGGAGTTGACGGGGAGCCCAGAGCAAACTTAGGAGGCTACTGAGTCACTCAGTGGACTAATGCTCGCCCCTAAAAGACTTGTTGGGTCGAATCAAACATACTCCAATTCCTCGCAGGAGACAAAGCGGCAGGAAGTGGTCCTGGCCCGAGGGGAGCACCTGTGTGTCCACCAGCCAGGCAGGGTGGGCGCTCGCCAGGCCTCCGTCCCCGCCTGGCACCTCCACCCTTAGCACTGTGGCCTGGGTGGGCTGCCTGCCACCCCTTCTCCTGGCCCCGCGATTCCTCAGCCGCAGAACAAGGAGGGGAGAACTGGGTTCCAAGGGCCTGGTCAGGGTCAGATGGCGCCGGGATGGCCTCCTGGACGCCGAGTCCACTCGCAGGACAGCCATTAGGCTGCGTGGCTTTGCAAGCAGCGGCTGCAGACCATGTGCGGACCTGAGCCCTTCCCCTCCTTGCCTAGCGTCCGACTCCAAAAACACAGGCCTGCCCTTCACCGAAAAAAGACTTTTTCCATGCTTTCTCTTCCTGCTTTCTAGATACGACTTCTACAGGCTGAAGGAGACACCTTTCCTCTGATAGGAGGCTCTGGGACTGTCCTGGGCATGGTGAGTGGCCAGCGGCCCGCACCCCAAGGAGGCGGCACCCACAAACATGCAGGCACCTGTTCGTGTGCACCAGACCCTGTCCACCTCCCCCTGCCACTCCGACCCACGCAGGGTGTGCCCAGTGCCTTCAACCCCCACGCCACCACCCTCAGCCGTGCTGAGGGGACCTCTGGGCTGCACTTGCCGATGTGTCATCTGTCCTGGAGCCCTCCAGGGCTTGTCTCTACTGTGCTCTGATTTTGCCTTCCTTGTCCTAGGCCCTGAAGAGCCACAGCCACAGCAGCAAGCCCCTGTACGTCTCCGTGGGCCACAGGATAAGCCTGGAGTCCGCTGTACACCTGACCCGAAGCTGCTGCAGGTTCCGGAGCCCGGAGCCCGTGCGCCAGGTGGGTGGGCCACGTGCACCATCTGTTCCCCCCTCAGCACAAGCACCTGTGGGACGCCCTAGGGGGTGACCAGAGTTCATCCTGGGGCCCTGCCCTGCCCGGGCCCCGTGGTCTACTGTGCTCTTACATGCCACTTCAGCCTCCTGCACCCGTCCTGGGGTCATCAGGAGCCTCAGCTGGTGACAGCTCACCCCTGCCAGCCCCCGGCTAGCCCCCGGCTAGCCCTTCAGGGCCTGACCTGCCCAGCAGCCTGGGAGGGAGCCCCCTGCAGGGCTGCAGGCAGTGCTGAGGAAGGCTTGTGTTGGCACAGTCCTCAGGAAGTGACAGGAGGTGGCCGTGCCGGGCCCCCAGCACCTAAATCGGCGGCAGGGGTGGGTGGGAGCAGAACTTTGGGGAACAGGTTGGCTCGGCTGAGAAAAACCTCAGCCTGTAGGAGATAGAGGTGAGCACAAGCTGCCCGTGGGCCTGCGTCGGTGGCCTGGGTGGGGACCGGGCATCAGCAGTCATGGGTGGGTATGTGTCCCAGAGAAGCCATGGAATGAGCACCTGTGAGGAGTCCTCCTCAGCAAGAGACCAGTCCGAGGAGGGGCAAAGGTGGTCCAGGCCCAAGGACCTGCATTCGCAAAGGCCCTAGGGTGGGAATGAATCTCAGCAGGAAACTCAGGAAAGTGTGGCCGGAGCCAGGCCGGGGTAGCGCAAGCCCATGAGCAAGGCTTCCCCACAGGGACCTGGGGGTGAGTCACAAGCAGAGGCTCTGTGGGTGGCTCAGAGGAGCCAGGGGAGCCCGTCTAGACGAGGTGCTGGTTTGTGCCGCCCAGGCCTGGAGCCCAGGTTCCTGCTGGTGCTGCAGTAGGTCAAGAGGGCCAAGGGCCTGGAATCCTCGCCCCACGGTGCCCCGGTACCTGCTGCCTCCCCCGTGTCCCCACGGCCTGTGCTGGGTCAGCTTGACGTGGCTGGGCCCCGGGGCCCACTGCATGGAGAGAGCCGGTGCACAGGGCTCAGCACGGGGGTGATGCACCCCCATCCCCACCCCTGCTGCTCACAGCCGCCACCGCCTCTGGGGGCCGGGACCTTCCCCTGCTGCTGGTGTGCAGGGTGGCCTGCAGGTGGCAGCAGCAGCCCGCGCGTGGCTCTGGCTCTGGCTCGGGGCCCTGGGGCCCTGAGGCTCTCCGGGGCCTGGAAGGCCAGGCCTCTGGGACGGTGCCTGGGGGTCTCTGCTCAGGCCTGAGCCCCCCTCCCTCAGGTCTGCCTCGATGCTGTCCATTCCAGTGACTTGGAAGAACCTTCCGTCGACACTTCCCCGGGGGGCAGGGGGCACTGGTGCAGACCAGAGCCAGAGGGACAGGCCAGCTGGGCTAGGAGGACCCTGGGAGATCAGGGCTGGGGCACAAGCAAAGCCCACAGAAGCGCAGGCCACAAACCCAGTGAGAACCCAGCGGCTCCACTGGATCCTGGGGGGTGACCCGGGGCCTCCTCCTGAGCCTATCCACTTAGGGCCTCAGGGACCTGCCATTGTATCACCCCCGGGGCTCCAGTCCTTGTCCCAAAGGCTGGGCTGCGATGGCTGGTGTTACCTCCGTGGGCTCTCCCGGGAACCAGAGCGTTTCCGCCAGGCTGTCCCGGGCCCACCACCTCTCACAGAGCCACCCTCTCCCCAGGCTGACATCCGCTCTCGAGACTACATCCGCAGGACCCTGGGAAGCCCCAGGCCCCCCACACCAGGGCAAGAGAGGTGAGTTCTGGGGGCACTCGGCACGGTGTGGGGCGATCGTGGTGGGGCCGCCGACCCGTGGGGCCAATTGGGAGACGCAGAGTCCCGGGGGGTTGGCAGAGCCGAGGCAGCAGGTGTGGCGCCTGAGCAGACTCCAGTCCAGCAGGAATTCCTGAAGCCCGCCAGGGCTGCCCCCACCGGCCTTGTCCACTGCCTGCGCGGCGCTGGGTCGTGGTCTCCACGGGGAGGCCATGGGAGTCAGGTGGCCCCGGGCCTCGTCCTGGCTGCTGCGGTGGTGACGCTCTCTGGGCCTTGGTTTCCTTATCCGTGTGCCAGACATAGTCGTTCGTGTGCTAGCAGGATCCGGTGGGAGAGCCTGGCCCGAATGGTCACGGCTGGTGGGGATGGTTATCTGACCCTGGCCACGGCTTGCCACGAGACAGGTGCTGTGGCTCACTGTCCACACTCCATGCGGACTGGGCCTGGCATTGACGAGCAAGCCCCAGAGCAGTCACCGTCAGCTTTACCTCCAGCTCCTTTCTCCTCGCAGTCCGGGCCGTCCTAGGCCCAGCTAAGCTCGCGCAGGCACGGGGCCTCTCCCCAGGAGCGCACACGGGGTCTGTGCCTTCTCGCATCAGCAGCAGCTTCCAGGCCCCCCCGGGAGCAAGGGGGACTGCGGGCCGCCTCTGTGTTTGATGCTGCCCCTCCTCGATGTCGTTACAAGGAGCCAGAAGCTACAGAAGCCAAAGGTGTGCCCCAAGGAAGGTTCGGAAGAGCCCGCAGGTGAGGGCAACCCCCCTGAGGCCCACAGCTGAGGCCCGAAGACACACTGGAAAGCCCGGCAGCGGTAGGGGGTGCAGCGGTCACAGGAGACTCCCAGCTGCCTGACATCTGGCTCCTGCTCGGAGCTGTGACTGGGGAACGGTGCCCCCATGGCGGGTGGAGCACCCAGGCCCCAGCGCACGCTGGCCGCACCACGCACGGGGTGGCAGAAGGCCAGCCCCAGCTTGGGTGGCCCGGGGACTGCCCGTCCTGCTCCGAGGTCTCATCACGAGGTGGCCAAGAGCTCGGCCAGAGACTGCCCGCAGGAGACCGCCCGCTCGCCGCAGAGTGTCAGACCTGGAGGGAGTGTCACGTTGCTTCCCCAAGAGCAGGAGAGGGGCGTTCAGTGTTCAGGGGGATTTTTTGGTGTTTTCTGTTTTTTTCTAAAAGTGCCCAGGTGGGCTTAAGACTGCCAGACTGTGTGTCCGTCCCTGGCCGCCTGTCCGTCTCCCCCTCGGCGCACACACCACCGCTTCCTTGGCTTTTGCTTTTTATTTTCCAGGGCTCATTTTAAACCAGCTCTTCCCCTGGTCTCCACCCCTGACTGGTCGGCCACACTGAGTCCCCTCCGCCCTGACCCAGGAGAGCACCGGCTGGGGTGGCGGGGTGCGGTCCCTAGCTGCCCTGCCCGTCTGCCAGCTCTCCTGCTGCTGGTTCGCTAGGGCACAGGGACACATGGGGCGGCCTGGGTGCCAGAGGACCCGCGCTGGTATCCGAGGGGAGGGGCTCGGGCCCTCCACTCCGAGCAGGGGCTGTGAGGGTGGGCAGCCCTGTCTGGGAAGCCGGTGGGGCACGTCCACCCTGGGCTGGACTGCCATCAGCGTCCCCTCGCTGCGCCCCCCTTCTCAGCACAGGCCCCGCCTCCACTGTGGGGACGCGACATGCCCCCCACCCAGTCCGGGTCGCGTGTCTCACTGTTGAGAGGCTGTGGGTGGGGGTCAGGCCCAGCCGCAGCCCCCAGGCTCCCTCCCCACACTGGCATTCGCTGGGAAGTATGATTTCTTGCCACTCATGCTGTTTGTCAGAGAGCTGCTGGTCCTGGTTGGGACGGCCTGGGTCTCCATGCTCCCTGCCCCAGCACCTCTCTTTGGAAGTGAGCTCCTCTCTGGGGACCCAGACCCCCGGGAGCAGCGGGGGGCGGGGGGACAGTGAGCGAGGCAGGCTGTGGCTCGGGCTGGCAGGGTGCTGGCCGCCGACCCCTCTTGCTCTCACCAGGGAAGGCCAGGTGGCTGGGGGCAGGCACGTAGGGTCGTGGCCCCTGTTTGGGGCCTCTCAGTAGGAAGCAGGACTGCCCAGGGCAGGCGGGGCTGTGGGGTGCCACCAAGATGCTCAGGGGCTCTCCTCCAGCCCAGTGGGGTGAGCAGATCCCAGCATGTTCCACAGGGGTCCTCCAGGGACTCCTGCCCGTGGGGAGGACCAGACTGGCTTCCATCCTCCTGTCCCGCTCCTGCTGCCTCCACAGGCGTCCCCCTGGCACCTCCTCTCCTTTCTGAGCCTAGCTTCCGTTCCTCCCAATCCTGGGCCTGGGACTCATCGGGGCTGGGGTGTGCAGGGAGCCCCAGCTGTCCTCCTCAGCGGGACCCCGGGCCCTGGTGCTATGCCCCCGACTTCAGACCCTGCACTCCAGCGTCCTGACAGTGGGACTTCCAGCTCACCTCTGCCAAGGTGGCCCCGTTCTCCCTGCTTTGGGACTGAGGCACAAGGCTGTACCCCGGGAAAGTGTGACACAGCATCTGACGGAGCTCCGAGGTATGACCTCGCACTCGGGGCCTGCTTTCTCTTGGGGTCGTAAGCGCCCCAGGTTTGGTGGGTGAGGTGTGAGGTTACATGTAGTCTCTCCCCCAGCAGTGGACCCCGTTCCCCGTAAACAAACACATGGGAGTCCAGCACCCCAGCGTCTGTCCCGGGTAGGCCTCTGTGAGCTGTGAGGGGCACAGGGTCCCCGGGCACAAGCAGCCCCGGCGGGGCCCCTCCAGGGGCGGGTCACGCGGCAGCTAAGGCCAGCCGTGGTCCTGAGAGCCAGCAGGGCTGCACCTTCGGGCTCAGCGCCTGTCCCCACACCGTCCCCAGGCCCAGCGAGGCCCGGAGGACACCTGTTTTCTGGGAGGAGGGTCTGAGGCAGGACAGGGAGGGCTGGCAGTGCCCAGAGCGTGGGGTGCTGTGCCAGGCGGCCAGCCCGCTGCCCAGGTCTCCTGCCCACCACCAGCAGCAGGGCTCTCTGCACCCGCTGCCCTCCTGACGTCACCCGGGCCTTTCCCCGCCTGGGGCGCATCAGGACCAGGCGTGGGGTGTCGGGAGTGCAGTTGGAGGCGGCTGGCCCCACTGCCCCTCACCGACCGGCCCGGGCGAGGCTGCGCCCTACAGACGCCCGTGCCGCCGTGGAGCCCAGCTCCGCCAGTCCTGCCGAGGGGAGCTGGCCTGTGGCGGCCGGGTTGGTGGCCGTCTGTCTGCGGGGCTGTGCTGTCAACTCCAGTGAGAAGGAAGAAACGGGAAGCAGGAGTCCTCATCTCTTCCCAGACTCTCCCACCACCCCAGGCCCCCCGAGTGCGGGGTCAGTGAGGGCCGGACGGGCTCCTAGGACCAGGCCTCCCAGGCCCAGACCGTGCCTTCCGTCTCTCCTGCCTCCTGGGGGCTGGGAGACTTGGCGCCATGTCGCAGCAGGTGCGGGCAGTTGGCCCTGGCTCCCCCCCACGGGGTGGGAGGGGGCTCTTCTGAGAGCCCTGGCGCCGTGGCGTCCCCATCCCTCTTTCCTCCCCGTCAGGGAAGACCAGACCAGAGCCTGGAGAGAAGTTTGCGGACAACTCACCTGAGTCGTTTTCATTGTGAAATTGAAGTCACATCACAAAAGCTGCCATTTTAAGCCTTTTTTTTTTTAAGTGGACAGTTTGGTGGTTTTTAGATACAGACTCTTGTGCAGTCAGACCTGCTGTCCAATTCCCAGGCTGCCCTGTCACTGTAGAGGGAGCCCCCGTCCCCGTTAGCAGTCACCCCCCACCCCTGCCTGGCAACTCTGGGCGCCAGGTGGACGAGTGTTTGTATGAACCTGGGATTTCCGTCCTCGCAGGCGTCCACCCGGGAGGGCAGCTTCTGGGCCCTTTGGCAGCCGTGGGTCTGCCTTTTGGGGAAGAGCCACGCAGTTTTCCCGCCACGTTCCACGGCAGCTGCGCCCTTCCGCATCCTTGCCAGCAGGCCGTGGGGCTCCCGTGTCCACTCCGTCACCGACATTCTTGTCACCCTCCTGATTCTGGCCATCCTGGGGGGGATGTGCATTGCCCTAATGACAGAGGACGTGGAGCACCTTCTCGAGTGATCCTTGGCCATTTGTCGTCCTTCTGGGAGGAATGTTTACAGCAATCCTTTGCCCTGTCTGAAGTGGGTCTGTGCTCTTGCTGAGCTGCCCTCTCAGGGACGCGACTCACGCGCTCTCCTGCTCTGGGGCTGCTTCGTCACTCCCTAGGCAGTGTTCTGGGTTCATGAAAGCTGTTTAATTTGATCAAGTCCAGTGTATCTGTTGCTTGTGCATTTGGCGTCATATTTAAGAAATCACTGCCTAGAGGCACCCGGGGGCCCAGCGGTGGAGCGGCTGCCTCCGGCTCAGGGCGTGAGCCCGGGGTCCCGGGATCGAGTCCCACGTCGGGCTCCCCGCATGGAACCTGCTCCTCTCTCTGCCTGTGTGTGTCTCTCATGAATAAATAAATAAAATCTAAAAAAGAAAAAAAGGGAGGGAGGGAGGGAGGGAAAGTAAGAAACTCCTGCCTAATCCAGGGTCAGGGAGACGTCCCCCTGGGAGAGCTGTGGCTTCAGCCCTTCCATTTCGATCTCTGGCCCACTCAGGTAATGTTTCTATAGGCTCTGCGGGGTCCCCGGCAATTCCGTAAGAGTTTCAGGACCAGCTTGTCCATTTCGGCCGAAAGGCGGCTGGACTTGACAGGCGCAGCACCGACCGACCCGGGTGCGCCCCGGGGGTGCTCAATCCCAACGTCACTCTGCTCGGGCGCCTTTTCCTTCACTTCGTCAGCTTCTTTCCATGTGGCCGTGTGGTTTCCAGTGCACTAGTCTCTGGGTTTCGTTTGTTTGGTTTTGAGACGGAGGGAGACGGTGGGGAGGAGGGGGAGAGGGGGAGAGAGAGAATCCTCCATGCTGAGGGCAGAGCCTGATGTGGGGCTCGACCCCACGACCCTGAGATCATGACCTGAGCCGACATCAAGAGTCGGATGCCCACCGAACGGGCGCCCCCAGGCGCCCCTTCGGTGCACAAGTCCTACACTTCATTTGATTAAATTTGTCCCTAAGTATTCCTTTTGATGCCATTACAAATGGAATTGTTTTATTGATCTCGTTTTTGGATTGTTCATGGCTAGTGTGTGCAGAAACACATCTGATTCTGTCTTGCATCCTCCAGCTGTGCTACAGTCTGTTAGCTCGGATTGTGTGTGTGTGCGTGTTGCACATGTGTGCACACACACTCTTCAGGGTGCTCTCCGTGTAAGATCATGTTATGTGCAAGTAGAAATAGTTTTACTTCTCCCTTTCTGATCTAAATGTCTTTACTGCCCTTTCCCTGCCTGATTGTCCGGCTAGAAGTTCCAGTAGGACATTGGATTCCAGTGGCGAGGGCAGGCGTCCTTGTCTGGCTCCCGATTTTAGGAAGAACCTCTCAGTCCCCCATGAGGATGGCGTGGGCCGCGGGCTCTTCAGGGACGCCCTTTTCAGGTTGAAGGAGCTTCCTTCTGTTCCTAGTCTGTGTCTTTATCACGAGCGGGGCTTGGGTTTGTCCGCTGCTCTCTGCACCTGTCGAAGCGATCGCCTTCCTTCACTCCGTCATGTGCCGTGCTGCATGGGTTACGTTGTCATATTTTGAGCCACTCTGCATTTCTGAAATAAATTGCACTTGGTCACGATGTATAATCCTTTTACTGTGCTGCTGAATTTGATCTGCTGGTATTTTGTTGAGGACTTTCAGATCGATATTCCTAAGGGTTATTTGTCTGTAGTTTTCTTGTGATGTCTTTGTCCGGCTCTGATATCAGGGCAGTGCTGGCCTCCCCGTAGAGAACCCACAGAAGTGTGGGGTGCCGTGGCCCCTCAGCCCTTCCCATGGCCAACCAAGGCACTGAGCACAGATCAGAGATGCCTCAAAGAGGTAGAGGGTTTTGGCAGTCTATTGAGAGCCCGCCCACCCTGGGGACACGAGTGGGAAAACAGCCAGGGCTTCTCAGAAGGGGCTGGGCTTCAGGGATTGGGATGCAGGGGTCAGACGTGGGCCAGGCTGGGAGTTCCAGCAGAGGGGCGGTGGCAGGGCAGTGTACACAGACGCAGATGGAGGGGCAGGTGGGGACCTGCGAGCCAGGGTCATTCTCAGGAGACCCAGAAAGCGTGAGGTGTGGGGAGGGGGCTCCTGGGTGGCATGTCTTGCCCCCTCCACCCCCACCTCAGGAGCTCTGCTCTGCTCTCTCGCCCCAGTGCAGAGGGCGTGTGGGGGCGCTGGGTGGGTGGTGTCTCAGCTTCTTCCCACAGAACCTTAAAAATAGGGCCGAGATGATGTCTATCTTCACAGACCACAGCCTGCCCCAGAGCCAAGAATAAGTCTTGAGCCACTCAATAATTCAAGTCCAATCCAAGTAGATCTTCCTGTTAACCCAGTGGCCTCCTCGCCCCTTCCCTAAGTCCCCACCCTGCTCAAGGGCTGGGAATAAGAGGCTCCCGTGAGGTGGGTTGGCCTGGCCATTGCAGGTCACACCTGGGCCCCTTGGGTCTCCCCACTCTGGGGACCCCAGCCCGTGCACCCTCCCCTCTCTTGGGGCATTCAGGAATGCGGGGTACCCAGGACTGGGAGTGGCCCTTCACGATCAGGCCAAAGCCAGGCCTCAGGGAGAGGCCTGGCCATGATCCCAACTGTCCCAAGGACACCCCCCCCCCAACCCCGACTCTATGGCCACAGGCATTAGCCTGTTTGAGCCTGTTTTTTAGCCCAGCTCCTCAGCACCTTTGAGCATCCCTCACTCCTCCCCCTGGGCTCCTGGGGTCCCAACTCTCCAGGGCCCAAAGGCCCTTGGGCTCCAGGGGAACTAATCCCCCCACGTGGGCCCCAATCACTGGTACACATGCACCCCTCGGGGTCTGTCTTCCTGCCTCTTCCTGAATGGGTCCCTGCAGGGGCTTCCCCTAGGCCTTCAGGGCCTGGTGGCAACAGGTGGACAAGGAGCCAGAGTCTAAGCTCCAGCCCAAGGCCTCTGCACTCGCTGGGGGAGGCGGAGTCCCTTACTGGCCGGGCCCACCCCCTCCAGATTTGTCCCAGCCCCAGCAGTCCCTGCTGTACTGCCCTGGCCAGGCCCTGCATGGAGTTTTACCAAATTATTAATTAAAGGCACAGGCATGCGGCAGCGCTGACATCCAAATGAATAGCACGCTGGGTAATTAGGCAAGGTGTCATGGAAATGATGGAGCACAGCCCGCTATCCCCAGTTCACCTCCCCAGGAAGCAGGAGCAACTTCTGGCAGTTTCCTACCACCATAGGCGGTGCTGGGGACAGGGACAGCTACTGCTTGGGGACAGGGCGGGGCTCCCCCTCCATCTGATCCTGCCCCACCCAACAGGCTAAGAATGGGGAAGGGGGCAGTGAAGGTGGGCTCGCTGTCCGAGAGACAGGCAAGCAGACCTAGGGCAACACAGAGGGTAGGAAAGGGTGGGGGCCCGCGGAGGGCCCTGCGGGCAGGCGGGGGGACCCAGGCCAGAGGCAGGGATGTGGGGGAGGGCAAGACTTGTAATGAAAAACCAGCAGCTCCTTCCCCCCCACCCCTCTCTGTTCCTGATTTCCTCTTCTCCAAGGCAAAATGTTGTTATTTTAGTTAGTTTGTTTTGGTGTTTATTTCTAAACAACATGGTAATGTTGCTCTTTTTCTTTCAGATTTAGAAATTATCCACTGACTTTCTGCTGTTGAGAGTTTGTTCACACACACACTTTCCTTCCACTCATCTCCGTTTGGCCGAATCCTAATTCTGTGTGTGTGTTATTGTTTCTTCGCTCATGCTACTCACGCCCCAGTAACGTATCATAGCGACATCTTTCTCGTACAAACTCTTGTTTTTCCTGGACTTAATAATTGCCTCGTGTTTTGGGTTATTTTCTGTGTACCTATTACTTATTCATCCCCAAACCCTGCAACAAAAATAGAAGTCTCTTTTTTGGTACATGAAAAACATCAAGCCATCTCTGAATTTGGTTTTGTGGCCCATAGAGCCTGTGGTAGCCAGCCCCCGAGATGGTGCCCAGCGATCCATGGCCCCCAGGCTTGTGCAGTCCTCTGGCCACATTGATTGTTGGGACTTTTTTCTTGATGGCTCTCTCTCTCTCTCATCTTTCACTTTGAGGGCACATGTCATAAGCTGCCATGTCATAAGCTGCTCTATGGAGTCCTCATGGCAAGGAACGGAGCCCACCAGCTGCTCAGCATGTGAGGAAGCCATCCTCTAAGTGCACACTTTCCATGTCCACAGTCCTGGCTGTCATCCCGAGTGCAGCCTCACGAGAGACCTTGAACCAGAACCAGCTAGCCAGCATACGCCTGGGTTCCTATCCCTCAGAAACTGTGCGAGACACTAGATCTTTGTTCTGGGACAGTTTGTTAGTAGCCAAACCCAGCTCACTCCGAGCCGTTCCTCCTATGCCCACCTTTCTCGGTTGCCTTGTACACCTGCTACACACCCATCACCAAGGACATGTCTCCACCCTCATCTCTCCTGTGTTGCGTCCCCTCCTTCGTGGGTTCTGTGCAGCAGTCCTTTGTTTGGCATGCACTAGTCCTTGCACTAGTGGCGTGCACCATCCGGTGGCTTCTTGAGAGCGAGTATCGGAGAGCAACAACCCCGCCCTCACCCTCACCCAGAAACCTGTGTCCCTTCTGGTCTCCCATCAGAGACCTGGGAAAGTGGCTGATTTGCTTAAACTCCCCAGAAGAGTTTTTGTCTCTAAGGTGCAAGGATACCATGATGACCCTCAGGTATCTATCAACACTGTCTCATTTCATGATGTGTGACCCTCGGGGACCCTGGAGAAGCCACCACGCGCTCTGCGGGGCTGCCGGGCTGCAGGTGGCAGGGCCGCCGCTGTCCGTGGTGCTGGAGTTGCTGCCGCCGCAGGGCTGCCGCCAGAGAGCCTCTGCCCTACTTTTACTCCTTCCTCACCCTGCCACCACCTCCCTAAGGCAGAGGCTGTGCCACCCTGAAAAATCCCTTCCCTGCCAGCTCTGGCCCTGTCCTGCCCCTGACTGTCTTCCTGCCCGGGTGCCCCTTTGAGATCAGGCCCTACACAGGTTCTGCAGGTGGGCTCAAATCCTGAGGGGAGAGCCTGGAGGTGTTTGAGCTGAGGACCCTGCAAATTGCATGCGACAGAAGCCGACGTAAACCACAGGAAGCAAAAGCGAGCTTGTTAGTTCACGCTAGGGGCAGAGCGACTGCGGGCGGCCTGGCTGCACCACACACCTGCTTTCTCCCTGTGGGCGCTGTTCTGGGGGCCTTTTCCTTGGGGGGCCGGGTGGCTGGCAGCAGCCCCAGGCTTACCTTCTCCCCTGTATGTGTCCAGGCAGAGTGCCCCCTCCTGTCCCAAAGGCTCTGGTGAAAGCGCCAGGGCCATGGCCCTGGGTACAGGCTGACCCTGCCCGAGCGCGGTCTCTGCTTGGCTTGATCGCCGTGGCTAGGGTGGAGCCAGGCAGTGGAATCGGCGCACCCACGCAGGGGGGTCCTCAGTGGATGGAACACTCACCAGAGGAAGGGCACACCCTGCTGGGAGCCAGGGGAGGGGACCTTCTTGGGAAGGGGCAGTGGCTTCAGGATCTCTCAGGACGCTCTGTTCCAAGGCCCTAGAAAGCAGGGCCTCTGCCCAGAGATGCCCCATCTTGTCTCTGGGTAATTCTCTCCCAATGCCAGCAGGAAACAGCGTGATTAAGGTTCCATTATTAACTTGCCAATCTTGTTTCTGGGGCACAGACGCTGACGGCTTAGGGGACCTAGTTGGCATATAACAAGGTCTCCATGACAAATTACTTGGGTATCAATTAACTATCTAGGGAAATGTCAAGCAGGATCTGTCATGCTGGTAGCGGGGGACAGCCAATTAACCTGGAGCGGTTAATCCGATCCCCAACAGTCACCGCCTCAGCCTCCAGCAGGGCCTGGAATGAAGGCAGAGGCCTGGGGTGCCCAGGGGGGCGGGGCCTGGCCTCCATCGCCCCAGGACACACACCTCTGCAGTCACGCTAAGGGCCCCGGCGCGCTGCTCCTGCCTCACAGCCTGCCTCTGTCCATCATTCATTCACCTCATGACCACCTGCGGGCTCAGGCCCGACCTGGTCGCTGTTGGTCAGGGATGGGACCGAGCTGCAAGGGACCAGTGTGCATTCAGGGGACCGTGACCTGTGTGGTGGCTCTAGGATCCCAGCTGCATAAGCGCGTCCGCACGGCAGGGCGGCCAAGGCGGAGTGGCGGATGTCAGGGTGAGGGCTCGGGGCAGCCGGGCGCAGGCTCCCAGCACAGCGCAGGCTCGAGCCTCGGCCAGTGAAGCGGCCGACTGAGCTGAGGGCAGCTCGGCCACGGGCCTGTAGGACTTGCAGTGTCTTAAACCGTTCTGGCCTCAGTTTCCTCACCTGTAAATGGGGCTGGTGATCCTTGGTTCCCAGCGATGCTGTGAGAGTGAGCAGTGCCCCGCAGACGTGCCCGGCCCGGTGCCCGGCCCGCGAGCTACTCACAGGGCAGGTGGGGGGGCTCGGATGGAGCCCAAGTGCGGAAGAGGCCGGGGAGTGAGGAACACGACGGATGTGGCCTGGGCCGGGGGGGGGGGGACATCCCGGAGCAGGTGGTGTGGGCTGGCCAGCGGGCACACAGGCG